TTATTATTTCTGAAGAGAAAAATGAAAGAGAGGTCAACCAAATCCTCCTCTTTGTCAGAAAACAGGTCCCCGATCATTTCAGTCTGACCTTCACATTTTGTTCAGCACATTTCTTGTGTCACAACATAATGCTTTGTAAAGAAGCAGTTATTAAAGGATGCGGCTAACAAACTATACCGAAAAATAAAAACACTGACTAATATTATAAGTGGACCTCAGGGAAAAAATTATTAAAGATGCATATGATGCCTTAAAGAAGAGACCAATCTGAAGACAAGGAAACAGGTTTTAGTTCTACTGCTGAGTGTGTACACAAACAAGATATTCATTTGTGTTCCCAACACAACATTTACGTATTCGGGTTTAATGTTTTCAGAGAAGCACAAGAGGTTTTCAGAAGGAAGCAGGTATGCTTTATTTTCAGCCAGTGACCTGAGTGACTGTTTCTCTCTCTCTCTCTGTAGAGAAATCACATCTCCGCTTATCTCCTCTACCACAGGGGAAGTAAAAGCTCTTCTCAGTCCCTGCCACTCCTCAGGTAAGAGGTTACAGCTTCAACAGGCAGCAAAAATATTCCATGAATGCTGAGGCAACGCAGTGTGAACGTCAGATGTTGTCCTCGGGGCCTTAAAGTGCTGGCTTCAGAATGTAGGTTAAAATGTACTGCTCACAAGACCTCCATTATCTTTGGACATGCCCGTTTTTGGAAAACTAGAGTTTGCTGAAAAAGATAAAGAGACCTAGCAATCACTCAAAGCCTGAGGAACTGAGTGTGTTGTGTGGAAGAGAAAGCCTTTAATCCCACAATGCCTCATCTCAAACTCAGATAGACCCTTAAAGGAATAGTTAACTCAAAAATGAACATTGTTCCAAACATGTATGAATGTTCTACCATTGTACGGACTGTTTTTGCCCTTACAATGTCAGTGAGGTCCAAAACAACAATGACTTTCAAAGTATGGCCAAAAAACACTGAGACACTTTTCAAGTAAATGGTAACAGAATTTTCATTTTCGGGTAAACTATTGTATAAACAGATGTGAGTGCTTTTTTAACTATGCAACTGTGAACAGAAAGAGATTTTTAAAATATTAGTTCTTACCCTCTGCCTGTCCTCCTCGAACACAGCCTCATGCACGCTGCAGGCAAACAGAGCTGTAGGTAGATCACTCAAGTCCATCATCTCTTCAGAGTCTTCCTCAGCCTCGCCGAACGCCATCTCTTCTTCATCATCCTCTTCAGGATCACTGCTGTGACCCTCTGAGCTGTTGCTCCACAATTTCCCAACCTCACGCATCATTCCACTGCTCCACACAATCCAGTTGAAATGTTGAGGCAACAAACTAGTTTGCTTTTCAGTATAGACAAAACTGGTGCTCGAATTGAGGGGGGGCTGGGGGGATCCGGGAAAATAGTTAAAAATAAACGAGGTGTTTTAGGAGGGCGTGGACAAGTCTTAACTTTTATAAAGAATATCTCTTTGGGTTTGAGACTTTAGTCTTTGCAACTTTAGGGATCTTATCTATTCACAAACAGCTTGTAACACTCCAAAGAGAAAGGAATACTTGAAATTGCATCATATGACCCCTTTAAAATGTAAACGCCCCTAAATCTAAACACGTGACATTGTTTGCTTGCTGCTCCGGTAAAGCTAACATTACAAAAAAAATTAATTAATTAATTAATTAATAAAAAAAAATTAAAAAAGGGGACTAAAAAACCTCTACTCTGTGTCAGGAAGGGAAATCTTCTTAGGCTACTGACCTTTTTGAGGGGTTATTTTCTCTCTCTCTTTATATTTATCCACTTCATGGGCTTTTGTGTTTCTTAAATAAATTGGAAACATTGACTCATTTTTCATTGTTACTATTTTAAACACTTTATTCATTTTTGCAGTCATTAAAACTGACTCGTGGCATCCAAACTAATTACTTTGTGACAAAAAATGTCAAAAATAAGTTAAAACAATCGTGCATGAAGTTACGTGTCACAGAAATGTGAAACTCATTCGCGAATGTAAAAGGGTTGTTCATTGCTCAGAAAGGCTGGAATTGTAACATTTTCACTTGTGAATGAGGATAAAATAATTAAATAAATTAAAGTCTTTTAATGTCCATTTGAAGTTACTGACTTCTCCTTTATCACTGCTATCTGAAACATTATAAAATAATTATTTCTGTCCTACAGCTGAATCCGACAGTCACTGCCGTTAGTTTGAAGCCCATCTGATTATCTTCTACTTTTTTGTTTTAGACATTTCAATGTAACGCTTTATACATCCATCATTTCTATCTATTGTTCCTGATCAACACAAAAGCCTATTGTTTTATGTAAGCATGTTTTAATAAATGGTATATGGATATTATGATCAAATGAATATATTTTTTTCTTATTAGAAATATATAAAAAGTGGGGATCACCCATAAGACTTGATTCAATTCGAGCACTGGGTAAAACACTTACAAAAGAGAAAATGCCATAAAAACACCATAAAAGTATTCCATGTGACTTGTGTGTTATTGTTCATGACCTGAAACAGTGATCTGTGAGCCAAACAACAGTTTGTGATACTAAATGAAATACATACAAAAATATGACTGCATTATTGTATTATTTTTAAAGAAATGCATAAAAAAAATAAAATAAATAATATATATATATATATTATAATATTTAAATGATTAAAAACATCTTGTTGACAAATGGGTAAAACTTAGTGGTTTGAAGGATAATGGCAAAGATTAAAAATTACAATTAATTAGATTTGAGGGGCCTGCACTGTGATCATTAAATACACTCTTTTAATGCCATCTAATTGGTCTTCTATGTCTGACAAGATAAACTATTGTTACTCTGAAAGACATTTTGGTGGGTGTTTCTGATAAATCATGGTAAAAATGTATGATAGTCATTATTATTATTATTTTTTTTTTTTTAAAGAGAGGACACAATCTAACGTATGAAAACAAAAACTGTATTAAACTTTCATGCTTTGACCAATGTACTATTTTTCCTTTTATGGTGTTTAACATCTGGTCATTATTCACTTTCATTTATAAAACTATCAGCGTGAATATCTTGCCTCAGTTTGTTTTCAACAGAGAAAGAAAGAAAGTCCTAATGTTTGAGAACGACGCGAGAGTGACTTGATGCACAATCTCTTTAACAACTGAACATGTGCTTGAACGTTCAGCTACTCTCTCGCTGTGTTACAGCGCCATCTAGTGGCTGTTACACGAGTACAATGTGTGTACATTATGGCTGTAATCTTATAAACGTGTCTCTAAATTAGAAAGTGTTGTGTTCGCTAACCTGGAGCGAATGCAAACATGCGTGGTGCTGAATGTATATTCATGGCGATAAAAATGAATAATGTACATATAATTCATATTTTCTGGGAAAAATCATCGCTGCTGCTATATTTCATAACAAACCGATTAGCATGCTTAAACTATCAAGATGACATTGGTAACATAATTGTAGTAAACATCTATGTTAGTCTATTAATTCTGCCACTTTTATTTGACGTAAATTTCAAAGCAAGTCCATCAGAGTCAAATATAATAGCACGATAATGTAACTTTTATAGATGACTTACCAGTTATCTTTGCAACTTATTCGAAATCGATGCCCAGGCAAGAGGCCATCCACTTTAAAATCCGAGGTACATAAACTTTAATACAATAATGGAATATTGTTAATCTCAACTAGAAACGCGTCTTTTCATATAAACAGTAAATTCGTCGTATGCTATCAAAGCGACAAGTGACAGTGAGGAATGACCAATGATATTCAGGGTTATCTCATAATCAGCCAATGGGGTTCGAGTTCGCGGAAGATTGACAGCAGGGATTGATGACGTGTGACAGTGGACTCGACGCGCCCTGTTTGGTGTATCACATTAGAATGCATTACGGATCATCTTTGACACATTCATTTTTACCACATGAATTGACTCATTTTGAACGTTTATAATTAAAAACAACTGTCTAACTGAAACATTGTATTGGATGCAACTGCTATCCTTCTTATAGCAGTAAAATTCCTGTCGAAATGGTCATTACAATATCTGTGCTCAGTATGAGGATGTTTTCACCGGATGTTGAGACCACTAATAATTAATTTGACCGCCTGTTATTATCTTGACTTGCACAAGCAGACAGAGTCTGTACTGTACATATATGGCTCCTTAATAATACAGAAATGGTCCTTGATACATGATACACAGACAACAATTAGTGAAATAATACTATTCTTAAATTACACAAAGGTTGTTTTACATATTCAAATTTAAGTCAGTTCTTGTGATACCGAAATTAATCTTCCAGTTCAATACTCTATTATACAGCAGTCCACAGCAATATGACTGAGACTCAAGGCCGTAATACAGCAGTGTTCCGATATCCAATGTGATACCTACAAACATGCAGATTTGTATAGAAATGTCTATTTGGTATGCTTCAGATAAGCACAGAGAATAAATAACAGGCACAGCAGACAAATGAGAGAACAGTGCGTATGAACTTGAGAACACAGTAATTTGAGCCAGTACCAAATATATATTTGTATATAACTAGCTAGGCATTGTGCAATCTACATTAGTCTTTGGCCTTTGGTTGATAAAGCTGGACTGGCTGTAGTATCTCTGGTACAAAGCAGTAGCAGAATCCAAATTTTCTGAGGTATTTTTAGGCTTTCAGGTTATCATTATTAGCTTTTTGCAATTTGATAGGAAACCGGGAGTGGTCATGAAGTCAGTCAGCACATTTAAGGTATGATTACAAATATGAGTATCATACAAAGATAACATGCCAATATCTTAGGTTAAAATCAACGCCACCAATGAAAGACCTTATTTGCATTCTAACACAGTGTTTCCCAACCCTGGTCCTTGAGGCACCCCAACACTGCACGTTTTGCATGTCTCCTTAATCAAACACACCTGATTCAGACCATCAGCTCATTAGTAGAGACTTCAAGACCTGAAATTGAAGGAGACATGCAAAATGTGCAGTGTTGGGGTGCCTCCAGGACCAGGGTTGGGAACCACTGTTCTAACATACAGTAAGTCTGTTATAGCTTGGTTTCCCGGCTCAGGATCAGACGAGAGAAAGTTCTAGAATGATCCAATATTCTGGAACTGTGCTCTAGAAGTGCTGTGAATAAGCAAATGTTTCAACACACAGTAGCATTTCTCAAGTAAAATCAGTCTTAATTGCACTTCAGACACATTTCCGCTCAGTCTTTTTTCAGTTCTGATGGTTGGAATGGGCTAACAGGACTGGGAGAGACAGACAGCTCTTGGTCCACCGGAAGCGTCACAGGAGCCACACTATCGTTGTTCTCCAGTGCTCCATATGAAAAAGAGCCGTTATAATCTGGCTGCACAGCCCAGCCTTTGTTGTGAATGGTCGGAATGCCTGATTTGACAGAAAAGACAAGAAGTGTTTAATCTAATAGGATGATTAATTGTTTGGCTTGATGACAGAAATGACAAGCCATACCTTTTGCCATGTCCATAGTGACATATGGCTCAAAAGCTTTGGCCTTCCTCTTGTTTTTAGTGATCAGGAACACTCCAAGAAAGCATATAGCACACCTGCAGGAATGTTAAAAAGACACATGGTAACAAATCCTAGATTCCAAGGGCCTCACCGCTAATCTGTTAGTCACTGCTATCGCTAAGAAAACAAACTTGTGTGGAATTTCATGGCCAAATAGTTCTCTTCCTCACACGGATGTGTTACAGAGTATCACATAGTATTATATAATAGTCACATAATAGTAGTACAGTGAGCATTTTCCATCTTGATAAATTGAATGTAAAATTTAGGGCTGACAATAAATATAAACATTTATTTTTTCATGATGATTTTTCAGAATGATTTCTGAAGGATCATGTGACTTTCAGCTTTCCCATCACAGGAATAAATTACATTTTAAAATATATTTAAAACATTAAAATATTTCACAATATTATGGTTTTACTGTATTTTTGATCAAATTCAGCCTCAGTGAACATGAGCAACATCTTTCAACAACACTAATTTTTTTTTTACCTCATCTCACCCAAACTGTTTAATAGTAGTGTATGTACTTAGATAAAACCTACCCCAAAAGAAACATACATATGTGCAGAACATCTTCGTGGTTAAACTCCTGATAAAATATGGCCCCTGTTATAAAAGAAACAGAATGAGAATGAGACCACTGATACAAAATGAAGACAACCCTGTCGTCTTAATTGAGACAGAGATAGAGTCCTACCTGCCACAATTGCAAATGTTGTGCAGAAAACGTAATTCACACAGGCAATGAGAGAGGAATCATATAGGTGAGATGCCTGTGCTAAAAATCTAATAAAGAAAGTCAGGTCAGATAAAAACATACAGCATTCCACTCCAAGCTCACTGTCCTACAACACAACATTAACACAACAAACACCAGAACTTACGATGCTTGAAAGACGATTGTTGCCACCATGCAGACGAACATGACATAGAAAATGGGATAGGACAGCTGTAGAGGACCCAAGATGCTGAGCACAATCATTCCTGAAACCGCCTTCACTGTGATTACAGTCACTGAACCTAAAAGGGCAAAGGTCAAGGGAAAGGTCAACTCCATTATTTTGGTCTCTGGTACATTTATGAGGGCAAAATAGACAATGACTTGTTGATCTGTGCATTCCTTCCTTGTCAAGAGAGCCACTTTGCTAAACAAGTACTTTGAGTAATGTTGCATGCACACAATGGGCTCTACAAACAACAAACGCTGTGTTATTGTCCTACCAAGTAGTGCCACCAGCAGCAGAATCAGGATGAGGTAGTTAGCATTCCGCTGTTTATAGAAATACAGCACCAGACAGAAAGTAATGATCCCCAGAAGCTGGAAAAAAACGATACAAAATTAACTGTTCATATAAAGTGCCTTCAGACATCAAAACAAATTATATTTCTACATACCAAAAATAATGTGCAAAAATAATAATCAAAACGATATCCTTTGTAAAATAAATTTGGTTCGATATTTGGCATTTAAAATTTGGAAGCACACAATAGCTTTCCAAAACATGAGGGTGTGTATTACCAAGTATAAGAGGAAGGGCCAGCCGATAACATGTTTTACTATGTTCTCCGCATTCAGCTTCTCGTGAGAGTTTGGTCCAAACGTCACAAAGAGGTAAGTACCACCTGCCGTCAAGGCACAGCCCAGGAAAGTTAAGATGTAGCGCTCTACAAAGACAAGCACAGGGATGTTATATATTACTAATACAATATATTAGCAAGTAGTTACTTGTTGCTTAGCAACTCATGGCCTCAATCTTTTGAATAAATAGCTGAGAAAATACAGCTGGCACATCAAAGCTAGCATTATGTTGCGAGTTATGCAACTGAAGGCAATCAGTATGATTTATCAGAATTTAGTTTCTTTTATTCCTTTATATGTACTGAGAAAGATGAGCAGAACTCACTCAAGAATTCTTGTGCCTTCCACTTTTCCCGCAAAAACAGGAAACCCAAGATGGAGCTTGCTGTGAAAATCAAAATAACCATTGGTTGTTACTTGAAATAAAATAAAATATAACTAAAAGTTTATTTCAGCTAGTTGCTAAAGAAACATTTCTCATTTTCATTAAATTTAACTTCATATACTAAAACTAAAATAAAAATTAATAAAAAACTACAAAGACATATTTCAAGAAAAAATGTCAAAAATACACAAAATTCTAACTAAAATCAAAATGAAAAGTAATTCAAAATATTAATAAAACTATACTAGTATCATGATACTAAAATAACACTCTATTACATATAAAATTAACATGAATATTTTAATGATATCATATGTGAAACAGTAAAAAGTTTAGTGAACAGTAAGTTGTCAGACTATGAATACCTACATATAACAGACACAGCATTAAGTGGTGCTATAAGAGAGAGCGGTGCAAATGCGTAAGACACAAACAAGGCGCCCTCCCCCAGAACCATCAGCATCAGGCCAGACCACCAGGTCTTTGTGTAGTAGTATTGCCTCGGGTCTTTATTTCCTGCCAACGTCACATGACTTTGTTTCTGCAAGAGAAAACATCAGTCGTGATGACGTGTGTTTGTCTTTTACACCTTCTTATTAAACCCACTCCCTTGGATACTGTAACAAACAACAGCTGGGTTATAAAACAAGATGTTGAGAAGTAAATAAAAGCGTCTGAATTTCACCTGACAGGGTGTAACCTGAACACACCCTGACCCTGAATCACAATGCAATTAGAAATGTAGGCTGCAAATACACACTTACCTGAATGCTGACTGAGATGCTGACCAACAGGTTTCCAAAGATAGCTAACAATGTTCCAATGAGGTTTTCCTGTGTATAAATCACAAAAATAAGACTTTGAAGTGTCACCCATGGACAGGATAATAGTTTACAACATTTAGTGTGCATAAAAGCAAAACACAGGACACGTAAATCATCACGCAACCATCCGGAAAGTCATGTTAAAATGTATAGATGTTTACTATAACAAGACCTTCCGGTACATGTGTATGTAATAGGAATGTAATACATAACAGGAACTAAATTGGATTACAGGGAACGTAATGGTTGCCTTGCTCTCAAACAGCCAGTTTAGAAAAAACATACTAGTTATTTCAAGATCAGTTTTTGTAAACTCGTAAAAAAGAGTTTCGGTTTGTATTTGTAGTTTGATTTTTACTACAAACATCACGTCATAGACTCACGGTGTAAGAGTCTGCCGTCACACCGTCCTCCTCTCGTGCCATCCTCACGCCGTTCATCCTTAAATCAGATGATATTCCCGTTATATACGCATCACCAAGCCCGTCCCACAGCTCGGTCCAGTCGGGACTTGGACGAAAGTCAGCTCTACTTTCCTCTGTTTCGGTAACGACTTTCGTGGATCGCCATTTTCGAAAAGTCGTACTTCTTTCCGGGTACACCTGTCAAGTGACTTGTGACGTTGTACACAGGTTCTGTGTGACGTCGAATTTGAGGGCTGTGATGAGGACCGCATTCTATGCAAAATAAATAAATAAAAAAACGCTGTGTATGATCAAAGAGTACTCTTTGGTATGATGGAGAACAAGTGAATCCACAATCACATTTTTACTGCTTTGACGAGTTTTATTTTGATGGTGAAAGTATGGAGGCTGTACAGCCGCTTTGTTGTAATATGCACTTTAAAAATAAATAGAAAATTGGAATTGAAAATTATGTTTTGCTGCTTACTTACTTAATTCAAGGTAAATGTTGTCCAGTTATTTAATTTAGGATACAACATCTTACCTTTATAATATCATGCTTACTATTTTCTTACACAGTAGCCTAAAAAGTGGTCTGGTGGTCTACACTTGGAATCAGTTTTGGACAGCAGGTGGCACAAGTGCACCTTCGTAAAAAAACTTCCAAAGTCTGGTCATGGTTTGACTCTGCTGTTGTACCGCACAGCATTGGCATAAAACTCAGCTTTGGATATACAGCTTTATGTGAGAGTAGTTACCTCTAGAAAGCACAGTTGGAGTTAAGATCCAACTTTCTCAAGACCTACACCCAGACCAAACTAATACCACATCTGGGCTATAACCACCATAGACAAGAGTGGATCATCAATATATCTTTTAATAAAGTTTCACTTTTGGGGAACCAGTTTTGAATGTTTAGTTACATCCTTATACCAGACCCCCCGAGATTCAGACTAAGATCTGATTTAGTGAACTGAAATGCTGATTTTATACAGTAGCCAAGTAGTTTAAAGCCATAGAGGTCTTGTAAATTCCCTGCAGTGGTAAGGATATTGTGTCAATCTGTGCTTGAGGTAATTATTATCTGTAGTTTGTTTTAGTTAATTAAGAGTAATGACCCACGTACCCACAACAACATGTTTATATGAGACCAAGACCACAAGACTCTGCCTGAAAGCAGTTGTGACTTCACCTTGAGTAATACAATGTTCCAACACTGATATTTTGCAATTTTCCATTATCATATCCCAGAGCTATGAGGTTCTAACTAGGAACAATGATTATGACATTCATCAATTATATCTTGGCACAGCTGAAATGACGCACAAACCATTCCTGTTGTTTTAGGGTCCACTAATTCCTGTAGGCGAAACAGGTGCATTCCAACTTTTTTTCACCTGCCAGTGACAGATAAAACACTGTGACAATAATGAGTAAATGTAAATGGGTTATGGTGTGACTGACATGAAACAAATCTGTGACCTTTCACCATTTCGTCAAGGATAAAAGAAACTACAGTCATTTCATTTTTTTGTAGAGAAGAGGTACACCCATGTTGTAATAGTTACTGATGTTATTAGAAATGTGTCATCACTGTACGCATGTTCAGATGTCATTGGGTGTGAAAGGCCTGTGGAAAGCGGACCTTCAGATCATCCAGTGTAAGTACCAGGGCTATTTTAAACTCCTGATCAGTATGCAAAATGTCCAGAAACATTTAATCGATTAGTCTGGATATCAGCTCAAATGGATTGGAAATAAACAGGAAGACAAGACATTTTACCTAGCAATAATTTGAATAACATTTTGCACAAAAATAAATAAATAAAATAATAAACCTGTAGTTTTTTTAATTATTATTATTTAGCAATAAAAATAACCTGTAAAAAATAGGAACAGAAAACATCTTTGACAGCAAGGTATCAGATTTATTTTCCTAGTTCCATGGAATATATCAGGAATGATAATTTGACTTGAGGCAAGATCTGAATATCAAAAGTTTTAGAAAGAATTTTACAAAACATTGGAGAGATGCCACAGTAGCCTGTAGATGCATCAGACAGTTGCAGAGCATCAGGCTTCCCTGCCGCGATGTTTCCAACACTAATTATGAATGATTAATAATGCTTCTATCTCTGTGGTAAATTACGCCCTTGCACTGACACCCGGAAAAAAAAGAACATTCTTTCCCTTAAGGCCTGTCCTCAGGAGGGGAACAGCACTCCTGATGGAATGGTGTAACTTACTGTGAAGTTTCAGAGTAAAATCTTTAGTCTGGCCTCTTTCAATTTCAACGTTCTTAGAGAAAGAAGTACAACAGAAGCTTTAGCTTTTGTTTTCAAAGTTTTAACAGTTGAAGTGAAGACATTGCAGTTGAGTTTTGTACAATTTGTCAAGTACATACACTTTTCAGAAAATTGTTTATGCCTGTCACTGTCAAAAAATCTGTGGCGCAGGAAATAACCCCTCAAAACAGACTCTAAATATGCAAAAAACAAAAGTTTAAAGAAGGGGCATGAAATCAGCCTAAAATGGAAAATGACTTTCAGGACGATTGTGCAAGGTGTAATTCCTCTGTACCTTTTGATGTATTTGGGAAATACCAGAAAATGATATTTTCACTTCCTGAAACTCTATTATTTTATGTCTAATAAAATGGAATGACACGGGGAAAAAAGTATTGAACTACTGAAATGTGTTTAATACTTTGTTTGTAATGACAGCTTCAAGACGCCTCCTGTAGGAGAAACTAGTCGCATGCATTGCTCAGGTGTGATTTTGGCTCATTCTTCCACACAAACAGTCAAACAAATCTTGAAGGTTCCATGGGCCTGTTCTATGAACTCTAATCTTTAGTTCTTTCCATAGATTTTCTATTGGATTCAAGTCAGGTGATTGGCTGGGCCACTCGACTTTATTTTCTTTTTCTAAAACCAATCGAGAGTTTCCTTGGCTGTGTTTGGGATCATTGTCTTGCTGAAATGTCCACCCTTGTTTCATCAGCGTGCTACTGTTGGTGTTGGGACTGAACCAGCTAATATTAATTTCCCAGGATTGCTTTACTGATAGATTTCAACTGGTGTCTTGGTTTTCCATGCCTTTTTTGCACCTCCCTTTCTTCATGTGTTCAATAATTTTTCCCTGTGTCATTCCATTTTATTACACATAACTTAATTTCTGAACTTTTTTTATTTAATTTTTTTTTGTATGTAAGGATTACTTGGGTCGTTACCGACATCTGGTGAAAATTTCATGTCAACATCATCTTTATAAATATATTTTCTGAGAAAAATGGTGACGCGTTCAATATTTATTTTACCCGCTGTATATATATATTAACTAAACAGGTCAAATGTATGTAATCTTCAGGTGTGGTTTTGTTTCATGTTGCAAGTGTATATTCTCTGAAAAATAATTCTTTAAAACGTTCCTTTTAACCACAGCATTTTTTCTGTTGTTTGTTTTAGTTTATATGAAGCACATTCAGATCACACCTCAGAAATGAAAACATACTTTACATATGAGTAAGTCAAAAGCTCTCTAAATAATACAAAATTAGCTTGCAGTATGTGACAGCAGCCACCTGTTTTAAAGTGTCAGTGAAGACCTGTTATGATAATTTTAAGCAATATCTGTACATTGCTTTTGCGTCATGATTTTGAAATTAGGTTTATGTGACACAATTATAAGGAACATATAGTTCTATTTAAACATATAGTTCATCCACAATTGGAAACATGACTGACTCAGAATGAATTATTCTGAAGACTGTGCAGTGTCATTTCTCTCCATGAATTTACTATTAATAGAGACTGCAACTTTAAAGCTTCACAAAGGATGCAAAAGCACAGAATACAGTAATTAAAGTGGCCTATATAACTTGTGCGCTGTATTCAAAGTCTTCTAAATGATGTGATATTATTAGTTTTCAGTAAGTAACAACTTCAGTTTCTTGGAAACAAACAAACAGACAAAAAATTAACAGTACAATTCTTCATAATTTTCTTATTATGTAACACATGAAGAAAGAAAGTGGGTTTGGAACAAAACAAGGGTGTTACTTTAGTGCATTTCATAGGGAAGACAAAAAAGATTTTTTTTCTCCTGGACATCAGTCAGATTAAATGGAGCTTAGGTCTCCTGCTTCTCTGATTTTTTCTCCTAAAAATGATCTCTCATGTGTCTCTTTAGCAATGTCACAATCTGTGCTCAGATTATAAAAGACCAATCTTTAAATATGAACACATTTCTCATCCAGCATCTCCAGGACCATTTTTTCTTGTTCTATTTTTTAGCAAATTCTGAGAAACATTTATTTTAACATATCTCATAACCCCATAAAGTCGCCTGAGACTCTTTGAAAGTTTGAGTAAAATGTATTCCTCTGGTATGGTATATAATACTTCATCATTTATCAGTCAGTTCTTTCTTTGTTGTATTGAAACAAGCTAGCATACATGCAATTGCTAATCTTAATGTTAATACTAAATTAACCTCTCTCCCACCCACTTTAACAGCAGAAACTATCATATTTCATTATGCACACATTTTGTAACAGGTTTTCCTGATTGTTGCTATTGAATTTCTCAGAGACTCATTATGAGTGAGAATTTCCACAGCACAGATAGCCTACAGCAGATAAGCATCAAGCAGCAGTGTAAACATAGCATAAACAAAACATAACTTGAATTTCACTAAACTAGACAATTTTTTAAGGGCACAGTGTATTATGATTCTTCATATGCTTTCATGGCCCTATGATCCTTCCTATGCCTTTATGATACTGTGTGTGTGTGTGTGTGTGTGTGTGCGTGCACACACTCAGGGGGTTATTCAGACTAGCTGACAGACCAGTTGTCGGCACTTCATCCCTCTAATAAGTCAGGCATTTCTACAACTCTACCTGTATTCATGCTACCTGCAGGCTCATACTTCAATGACACTTTAGTCTTTCTTTACAGCCTCTGTCATTTGAAATTCAGCAAGACAACAACTTAAATGCAATGTTTTCTTCATGTTATGCTGGCTGATATGACTCCAGTTTCACTTAAATTTACAACTGAAATCTTTGAATCTGAAGTTAATAATTTGAGAAATTAATCATTTTAACCTTCATTTATTTATAAAAATAATTTTCTTATGCAAATTTGCTGAACCGAGTTTATATCTTCATCAGAACAACTTGCTTACCGAATGGATCCTCTG